GCTTGTTTCATCTTCTTTTAGTTCAAGAACTTCTGTATATCTTGGAACCCACAATGTGATTTTGGGCTGGCCCTGTTTCACTTTCAGATTGTGTATATCCAACCACAAGTGCTTGTCGTTAGATAAGTGGGAGAACTGCAGCCTGGACCAAAAGGGAGGAGTCCTTCTGTTCAACAGTCTTGGCAGCTAGCCACACCTTCCTCCTGCATGGTGCCTAAACAGGACATTCCAGGCCCCACTTTCCTTTTCCCACTGACCCTCAACCTCCTATGGCTGCTGACCATGCCAATTGTTATTAGGGAAGTCCGCCATCCAGTTTTTTTAAGAGCCCCCCTTTTCCGTCATACTTCTGTAAACGTCAACATTCCCTAAAGTTTGCCAATGTCTCCATCTTGCTTCTGAGAGGCCTTGTTTCGACTCCAGTTTTGCTCACACATACCACCTGGGTGCTATTTTCAAGAGTGATGGGTACTTACATCAGAACAGGGGCGGAGAATAAGTGAGCCTCCAGGATCACTGGACTGCAACTTCCATCATCCTTCATAATTCACAGTGGTGGTTAGAGCTAATGGGAGTTACACTCTAGCAATTTCTGGAAGGCCTCCCATTTCTGACTTCTGCCCTCGAATGTACAGTACAGAGGGAAAGAACCGCAATGGAAAAAGAGAGAGTGGCTTTCAAAACAGCTTTCTATGTGACCTCCAAGGGAAAGATTTATCATAATAAGGTTAGATCTCAAACCTTCTCTTTCTACATCAAGACCAAGGAACAAGAGTGGGTGTCCTTTTTCTATCAACCAGAGCCCAGAGCAATTCCCATTCAGAGGGGGAAAAAGGAAATTAAAAGACAAGGTTTGTTGCATAATAGCATTTCTGTCCTTCCATTTCTTTTCCATTTTAACTGCATAACTCAAACTATTAAGAGATTAGTAGCCACTATTGATTTTGAGAGAGTAAGGAGGTATGTGTGTTTTAACTCCTCTAAAATAGTCAAGGACCCCAGCTTTCTATAAGAACACTAAGCAATTGTGCCTGCTACAAACAGTGCTCATATTAAAGTTTGCCAGTAAATCTCCAGCCTGCTGGGCCCTGCACAATACCACCCAAGCCCCTGAGCCTCGGAAGGAAATGATAAAAGAGCCAATTTATGCAGGCTCTTAAATACACAATGCAAAGTCACAGCTCCTACAGATGTTATTTTCCTGCTCACTGTTTATGGGAGGGCATGGAAGTTAGCCAATGTAGAAACATACCAGGCCTGCTCCCCCTCCCTGGCTTTTCATGCACATCAGGGACAATGGCTCCCTTTGCTGCAAGCAGGAAATGTGCCTGTTCCAACTGCAGAGAGTGGACATGAAAGTTGGAGTACCTGCACCAGAGCTAAGTTGTGAGACTTTAAGCTCTAACTGGCATTGGGTCTCCAGGATTTCAGGCAGGATTCTTTGCTAGCTGTACCTAGAGATCCTGGTATTTCCTGTTGCCTCCCACCCAAGCACTAGCCAGGGCAGGCCCTGCTTAGCTTCCAAAAATCAAATGAGATCAAGTGTGTCAGGCCCATATAAAGAGGTCAACTAGAGAGCATATATATTTTCAACAAGTGGAAAGGACAGTATAGATGGGGCTTTAGTTAACCACACGTCTCTTCAACATGCTGGGGCCAAAGCATGAGTCCTGACTGCAGAGAGGGTAGGACAGGACAGCTACTATTTTTGCAATTGTGGATCTGTTAGGTGGTGGGAGTTGCCTGCCCAGGACTACATTCTCCTAGGTGTAAACTATTAAGGGCTACATGTAAGCAAATTTGGAGCAGATTTAAATGGGGATTATCACTTCTTTCTTTCCTGCCACCCTTTCTTTCTCTCTGGTTCTGACTCTGTCTCTCTCTTGATCCCCCTCTTTGCTCAGTAGGAAGGAGATCAAGGGGATGGAGAGACTGATCAACTTGCAGGATGGTTTCTTCAACTAGACGGAGGGCTGCAGACTGCTCAAGGCTAGAAACACAAGCCACTTCCTAGTTGTGACCCGGTAACCCTAAATTAGATCAACATCCTCCTTCAGCTTTCAGTGTCTATAAAGAGAAAACAGGAAAGCGAAGGAGCAAAGCTCTAGACTTCAAGATCCTCACCATTTCAAAGTATGCTAGAAAATGCTTAATAACAAGTCATAGCTAACCATTTCCTTTGGAGTCTCATATTTTTTAAAAAATCGACTTCCTGACAGCAAAGGTCCATTGAAACAGGACAGGCCATTTGCTCAGCCAAAGAACAGAGTGAACAGTCCAGCCTCTTCCCTTGCCTGATACCATTTTCTGAACCCAGCCAAGCAACCCATTTGAAAACCTTGCAAGGACATTGCTGCCTGTACAGTTATGGGCTGCAGGGAAACACAATATAAAGACATTTACCTGCTTGTTCCTTAAATATTTGCTGCTTGCTGTCTAATGTAACAAGTGTGGGCTCTATCCCTTTTTTCCAACAAATCTTTTAATGTTGTGGTATTCTAGTGAAGCATGTCAAGAGCCAACAAAGAGTTAACTGAAAACAATGTGGAGAAACGTTGTCTTTTTAAGAAGAGAGAGGCAACAGGAAACATCTATAACTATAGCACTGAGGAGTAACAAGGCTTTGCATTTGGTTTTTCAGGGTCAAAGGTGTTTCTCCATTTTCCACGAGGATGGGTGTGGTACCAAGGCCACATTAAGGGAGCTGGCGCCAACATGAGGTGGTCAAAGGGAGCCTGGTTAAAAAGAAAAGGCAGGAGAAGAGAGGCAGCTGGGAGGAGTTCCCTTAATTTACAGGTAAAGATAAATAAACCCAATCCTCAAAGTCCAAAGGTTACAGGAGTTACAGCCCAAAGGTAAGGATGAAAACCACCCTGTTTATTACATGTTCCCTCATCCACTTATGGCTTGAAATAGCATTCTTAAGGTCAGACGAAACTGCAAATAGCTTAGGAGGAAAATGCTATGCGAAACCATATGACAAAAAAGAAAGAGCAGGCTGTGGTTCACTTTGGTGACACTCCTCCTGAATTCTTTTAGTTAGTTACGAACAGTTATGCTGAACTGAAGTTAAGTGGGTGGTGATATTCTAAAACAGGGGTGGGCAGTGAGTGGCCCTCCTGGTGTTGCTGAATTACAACTCCCATCACCCCTTATAACAGGTTTATCCTGGGTAGATCTGACAGAACTTTTACAACATCTGGAAGGTCATAGATCTGCCCCATCTAAAAACTGTATCCAATCCCATCTCTGCAAATACTCTGATTATTGCAGATGAGTGCCATAAACTGGGTACCAGAAGCCCAAATGGTACTATGACCCAGGCATGTTCTAGGTTCAACAGTGTCCTCAGGTTTATGCAACAAAGCTCTTGAATGACTTTATTGGGTCAAACTGCTGATCACTCAGTACTTCAAAAACAACCATTTAAGAGAATAAGGATTTGTTATGCCAGCTGCCTCTGGCAAAGGGTTGCCTCCCTTCCCTCCTGGAAGTATAAGACGGTTTGAAATGCTAGTAGAAAATTCTGAATCCTGCTTCTATGCTCTGTTTGTGTTAGCATCTTCTCAACAAATGAGAAAATGTTTGGGTGTTTTCCAGCATCTTACTGTAATCAGTAATACAGTATTTTAATTTTCTATCATGTTGACTAGTTTTTTTTAATTGCAGTTATACTATTGGCTGATACAACACTCGTTACTGAAGAGTTCCAAAAATAAATGGTGAGAGGCCTGGGAAAGAGAATGCTTTTCCCTCTGTTTTTTTGTTTCAACCAACAAGCTTCTAATTTCAAGAGGTACCATCCAAGGTTGGCCTTCCTTACAACTTTAGGATGCATCAGCCTGCCCCCTAAGTGGCAGACATCTGGGTGCCATTAAAGAGTAGGAAAGGCTTAATCCTTCTATCCTATGATTTGAGGCATTGTTTCAGCAGGCCAGCTAGGCATCATCGTGCATACCTAAGGTCATACCAAAATGTTCCTTGCCAATATTCTCCACATCAGAGGTGGCCCATAACAGAGTCTACTCAACAGATATTGTTCCATTGACATTCCTGTCAGCCAGTAGTGAAGGAATATAGGAATTTTGATCCAATAGCATCTGGAGACCCCATTTCCAACCCTATCCTACTTCCAATCCACTCTGGTGAAGCCAAGCTGAGGAACTTGAGTGGTGACTCCAGAATTAGAGCATTTTCTCATCTGGCCCCCAAATTAGGGAATTCCCTTCCTCAATACCTTCACGTGGAACCAGAGTTGGACAAATTTAAATGAGACTTAAAAACCTACTTGTTCAACCTGCAACTGCGACATGGTGGCGCTGTGGGCTAGACTGCAGAAGCCTCTGTGCTGCAAGGGCAGAGGACCAGCAGTCGTAAGATCAAATCCATGCGACGGAGTGAGCTCCCGTCGCTTGTCCCAGCTCCTGCCGACCTAGCAGTTCAAAAGCGTGCAAATGCGAGTAGATAAATAAGTACCACCACAGTGGGAAGGTAATGGCGTTCCATGTCTAGTCGCGCTGGCCACACGACCACGGAAACTATCTTCGGACAAACACTGGCTCTACGGCTTGGAGACAGGGATGAGCACTGCCCCCTAGAGTTGGACACGACTGGACTAAATGTCAAGGGAAACCTTTACCTTTACTCAACCTGGAATCATAGGGGCTGACCATGGAAATAGGTAATTATTGGGGTAGAATTACTGTACTTTAATTATTATATTGTTCTGATAGCTATTTTGATTGTTTGTTTATTGCCTTATTGAATGATAATTGCTTACTGTATGTTTTATCATTGTAATTATGTTATGCTTGTATTTTAACTGTTTTTTACTATTGGAATGCGCTCTGGTATAGAGTAAAATATAAATATTATTATTATTATTATTATATTATATTTACTATGGAAGAAGCATACTGTGTAATTCAAGTCACAAACAATTATATGCCCAAAGGGAGTAACATAATTACTTATTTTTTTAATGACACATAAACCCCCTGAAAAGTCTCCAAATAATGTTCCTCTTTATTCACTTTATAAATAGCAGCAGAAAGATTTGAGGCAGGAACTAAAGAGCTGTACAGATTGAAAACTTTACTGGACCATTGAGGGAAGTGAGAGAGGACACAAGACATGAGGTGGAGAGCCTGTTGCAAAGCCTTCTCACTCTATTGATAGGAGTCCCACATTTCTTGCTATCAGTTTTTTGGTAGTACAGGGTTCTATTATTCCCTGATCAGCTTTCCTACAAAGCTTAGACATAAGGTGATGGAAGTGGGAAATGGTACTGTTCAGTCCCTCAAAAATCAGACCCTACTCTAGCTCCTAAAAGTTGTTCCATTTCCCCTCATTTTCCTCCAAGGGGGGGCAGAAATACATATTTTTTAACAGGAAAAAATGCAAGAGGTCTTGGAGCTCTTAATAAGAGTTGTCCTTGGCTGCTCAGGGCCCAATGAGTTTTTTGAGGAAGGCTTCCAGCTGATCCTCATCTTTTATTCCCACAAACTTATCCACCACGTCGCCGTTCTTCATAGCCAGGACTGTAGGCACTGCTGAGACCTAGAGAAAAGGACACAAAAGGAAACGCAAAATAAGAATAATGGCTGTGCTCCACTGACCTGTGAACATCCTCTCATAAAGCAAAGCAAACATTAAAACAAAAGGTACAGCTCTTTAAAGACATGAATGATTAATGTTTCCTCATACTGAAGCACTCTCAGAAAATTTAGCAGCATCACTAAAATCTGTTTTCTTTAATCTTTAACATGCCTATTTCAGAGCTGGGAAAAGTTACTTTTTTGGACCACCAACTCCAGATTCCACAGGCAGCATGACCAGTGACCATGGTGGGTAGTAGAATCTAGAACTTATCGTCCAAATAAGTAACTTTTCCAAGCTCTGATGTTATAGTTATTTAACTCAAGTGTAGAGTATAAAGCATATACACAGGAAAGTTCTACTGAATCTCTCATATAATGTGGAACGTCAGCACATCCCTACATTGTAACAGGCTACTAGTCTGGGCATCCCAGTAAGGGCTATCAATAATGTTCCTTGTGTTCTGATGGACCAGAGTCCACCTCTCATGTCAGTGTTACCTGTGAAGAACAAAAAGTGCTGAAAACAGAGACAATGAGATGTCTCTCACATAGGTTTCTTGGCCACTTTCTAAAACAGGTGTTGTTTTCACCATTTGAACTAAAGGAACAAATAAAGCTGCTTAATAAAAACAAGAGACGAAGAAGAGAGATTGCGAAGGTTTACAACTACAGTCGTGCCCCGCTTAACGCTCAGCCAAAAAATCACTGCTGCTACACAGACTGTTTTTGTTACTCTGACCAGTGATTTGTCGTAGGCCGTGCCACACTCAGCGAGTGTCAGAACTTTCAAGGTGTTGTTCAATTCTCTGGCTGTACATAGCTTTGGCATCCCTAATGCCCCTTTTCAGTTTAGCTCTGGCCTCTCTATACTGTAGTTCATCACCAGAATGAAAAGCAGCATTTCTGGCTTTTAATAAAAGGCGCACTTCTCTATTTAGCCAAGGCTTGTTGTTAGAAAACACTCGTACTTGTCTTGTGGTAGTAATAACATTGATGCAGCTTTTGATATAAAACAGTACTGTCAAGGCATAAGTATCAACATTGTCCTCCTCAAACAGTGTCCAATCAGTGCTCCTAAAGCAATCTTGAAGTTGCTCAGTTGCATCCACTGGCCACACTTGTATTTCTCTAATTGATGATCTGATTCTTTTAACAAGGGGTCTGTACGATGGAATCAAAAAAAGAGATATATGATCTGACTGTCCCAAGCTAGGCAATGGCTTCGTCTTATATCCATGCATGATATTACAATATACCTGATCCAAGGTATTTTTATTTTGCTTTACGATGTTTTCGCTCTACAGCAATTTCACTGGAACGAATTAACGTCGTCAAGCGAGGCACCACTGTATACCACCGCACTCTGAAGACAGGGTGTGCCCCACCCCATATATTTTGGACCACAACAGTAACAAGCTCTTTGCAAAACATTCCTGTGCTGCAGATGCTGTTATAAGACCAACTACTCTTCCCTAACTGTGGTTTTAACTTAAGGCAAACTAGGGCGGAAATGGATGGAACTGTATGTCTTTGCAAGTGTGAGACACCCAAAACGCACAAGGAGGTTCTGCCTCCGAGCAAAAGAGGGCATCTACAAAAGAGAATGGGAAAGACAAAGACAGACATGTGATGCATTGGCTATTCTGACCATTATTTTCCTTAATGTAGAGGCCATGCTTTGCATGGAGAAGATCTGGGGAGCCATTCCATTAGCTCCATGCAGGGCTGCAGAAAATCCTGTCTACTATCTTGGAAAGCAATTGCCAGTCTGTGTTGATGATACTAGGCTAGGTAGACCAAGGGTCTGCTTCAGTAAAGAGGCAGCTTCCTGTGCTTTGTGTTCCCTCATGGTTGAGGAAAGGCACAGAAACCTCAACCTCTGGTACTCCTGCTCAACCTACTCTTCCAGCTTGAAAGCCATGGGCAGAGATACATTTTCCGACAGATGCAAGCATAAGAGCCTTTACGCATGCCTGAATGGCTGCATGAGTGTGCGCATGCACACACCAATCTTCAAATGTCCACTGCTAAATCTGTACTGGGTAATCTGTGGACTTTCAGATGTTTTTAGAAGACACTTTTCCCGATTTCTCTCTCTTGGCTGTACTGGCTAGGTTCAGACTAGCCATGTCCAGCAACATCTAGAAGGCCACCCACTGCCCACTTCGACACTAAATACACATAAACCCGTCAGGCAGCAGGTATTGGGCCCAAATTTCTGTCACCTGCACTACCCTGCAGAGTCACGACGCTTCTTCTTGCCCTCTCCTTACACCCCAAATGTGCCTTACTGATCCATCAAGCTCTTCCTTCAAGTTTTCAAATTAACAGTAAGAGCACAGCGAAGACTTGGCAAAAGCAGGAAGAAGAAACAAAGAGAGAGAGAGAGAGGATGTCTGTCAGACTCCGAATCACTGCTGCAACGGCTAAGACTGGAAGGCCTGGTGGAAACCCCTAGGCCACTGCCCCCCCCACAACATCCAACCCCTCAGCCCATTTAAGAGGCCAGGGAATGAGTGGGGAGGAATGTGTAAATATTTCAGAAGGGGCTGACACATTCCACAGCTCCTCTGGCGCCCTTATCTGTAGACAGCGCAGCCACTGGGTCATGTCCCATCCTTATCTTGCCTGCTGTCCATCCCTGGAATGCACTCTCTCATCAAACAACCCTCCCAGCTGCAGCTGCAACTTGCTGCCCTCAGCAATCTGCCACACGCAAATACCGTAGGCTCAAATGCCTGCTTTCATTGGCCCCACCTTCTCCCTCCTGCTGGCCAATGCAGAGCATTTCCTTCAGTGCACCACATCCTATGGCTAATCCAGGACAGTTTAATTGAACAACAAGACCAAAAAGAACAAAACCCTGCAAAGTGCTAAAGCAAAGATCCAGCATGCCACTGCTTAAGTTTTGTTTGGTGTCCTTTAGTGACCTCTAGAGGTTAACCATTAAATGTCACACCGGGCAATTAAAATCCCCCCCGCCCCTTTCTACCGTGTTTCCTCGAAAATAAGACAAGGTCTTATATTAATTTTTGCTCCAAAAATGCATTAGGGTTTATTTTCAGGGAATGTTTTTTTTTTTTCATATATAGTCTACGTTTATTCAAATACAGTCATGCCATCTTCTTCTGGTTGCTGCACAGTGGTGGAGGGCGGGATTTCACTTAACTGGGGATTATTTTTGGGGTAGGGCTTATATTACAACCATCCTGAAAAATCATACAAGGTCTTATTTTCAGGTTAGGTCTGAAATAGGGTAGCAGGAGCATAGATGTTTTAAGAAGAATACTACCTCATTTTACTTGTGCTCTTATGGGACAGAAGATAGAAGCTGAGACAGACGTTATTAGCACCATCACTTTAACAGGCAAGAATCCAGTCTCCTCCTCCCTGTGCCCAAAACTTTAGTTAGAGGGGAAGGATCAAATGATATTAAAAGACATGGGGCAACACAGGAAGTCACTGGTGGAGCAGGACTGTTAGTAGGATGCAAACAGCATAACGTGCCAAATCATTCTTTGCTTTGGCAGTTAATAGTGGAGGGCTTTTGATGTTAGGCGGAGATAACAGGGTGCTACACATTTAATTTTAATTGGTCCATCCTCTGTTTAGGGATGGGAAACGAGCAGCTCTCCAGGTGCTATTGGACAGCAACGCCCAGCATTACTTGCCAGTGTCCGTTCTGCTGGGAGTTGAAGTCCAAAACATTGCTCCCCAACCTTGTTCTAGAAAAGGTGCGGTCTCTGATTTGGTTCTCAAATCCGATGGGTGGCCACAAAAGCAGCTTGGAGGCTACAATTTGCTCATCCCTGGTACATGTGTGCATACCTCTCTCCTGAGGCCTGGGGGCAACTACAGAGCTGCTACAAAGAGTTCTAAGGCTATCCATATAACTCCTTGTTATTGTGTCTCATCTGCAGTTAGTTTCCTTCAATATGTTCTTTAAATAAAAAATAAAAAGGAAGACTCAGAGAATCAGCTCTCCTTCTCACTTTTATCTCCACAATTAGTAGGTCTCCTCTACTGAATATTATTACAACAACACAGTTGACATGAGACACACAATTCTGGACAGAAGACGCCAGTAGTTCTCTCCATACTTTTCATTTAGAATCTACTCTGTGCAGCACTTTGTGGCAGAGACTGGGAAAGTTACTTTATTGGACCACAACTCCCCAAATCCTCCAAAAAAACAACAACAACATAACAAGAGCCCATGCTGGTTAGGGAATTCTGGGAGCTGAAGTCAAAAAGAGGGACTTTCCTCAGCTTTTCCAACTGGCAGGCTGAAGAGAAGGGTCATCACTGGAACGGTGGTGACTCAAACTGAACCTAAAACAAGAATGAGGGCAAGAAGCCAATGCAAGAGGTGGGAAAGGGGGGAAACAAAGAGTTCAAGGCCTAGTGGCCACAGGCTGTGTTCCCTGCAACCCAGTCAGGAGTTACTCAGCAAGAAGACAATCCTAGCCTAAAGGAGAAGAACAGATAAACAAAAAGAAGAGACAAGGATGGACTGGCCCAGCCCTTTAACTAACGGAGAATTTGTCCCAGACAATTTTTTTACAATGTCTGCAGGGTGTGTGCCAAGCAGGGATTAATTGGCCTTTCTACCACAGCTTAGAAAAAAAATACTTTTTGATTATAACTCCCAGAATCTCCTGAACTTAGGCAGCAGTCTTTTGGCCACACAGTGTAGAGAATTCTGGGAGTTGTAGTCCAAAAAAGGTAATATTTCCAACCTTGGCTCTCCACCAGTCAAACCCTCCCCTGTTTCAGAACTGCAGAACGCAGCTCTGGCAGAAGCAGTTCTGGGAAGAGTGCTTGTGAAACGGGATTTTATCTTCCTCTTCCCCCCCCCCCTTTTCTTTTTTCACAGCAGGAAATGCTTCACAGATGGAAGCTCTCCTGGGACAGCCTGGAGCCAGGGGCAGGCCAGGACCCATGTGAAGGAATGCAGAGACATTCCAAGGCTCGCACAAGGGGTCTCTCTCCCTGGCTCCCTCCCCTCCCTCTGGAAACAATCCACTGCAGCCAGGCTGTTGTGCAAGGCACAGGCTGAACCGCCAGCCCCGCTGCCCCAAAAACAGAGCTGGGTGGGGGAGACAGAGAGAAGTGGGATGGTTGCTGGCAATCTGGAGGGAGTCTACGGGAATGGGAAAGAGAACTTTGCAGGGGGTGGGGAGAGGCAAAGAACAACAAAAACTTCACAGAATGTCCACCTCGAAGAACTTTAAGCACTTTACACAGGGAGATTCAAATGGCCAAAGAAACAGCTATTTAGCCCAATGGGATCTATTTTGACTGGGAGTAGTACCTTAAGGGCAGGGGACGTGGTGGCGCTGCGGGCTAAACCGCAGAAGCCTTTGAGTGCTGCAGGGTCAGAAGACCAGCAGTCGTAAGATCGAATCCACGCGACGGAGTGAGCTCTCGTCGCTTTGTCTCAGCTCCTCGCCAACCTAGCAGTTCAAAAGCGTGTAAATGCGAGTAGATAAATAGGTACCATCTCGGTGGGAAGGTAAAATGGCGTTCCCTAGTCATGCTGGCCACGTGACAACGCAAACTGTCTTCGGACAGGCGCTGGCTCTATGGCTTGAAAAGCGGGATGAGCGCCGCCCTCTAAAGTCGGACACGACTGGACTGAAAATGTCAAGGGGAACCTTTACCTTCACCTTTTTAGTACCTTAAGGTCTTATGCAACCTAACCCCTTTTCAACTCCTTTTAAGTGGAGATACTGGGAGTACAAAGCATTTGCTTTATCATTTTGCTATGGGCTCTTCCTTATTTATTTATTTATTTTATTTATTTCTTCAATTTATATCCTGCTCCCATTAGTGCCAAGGCATTACTCTGGGCGTTTATGCAAACACTACGTAGAAAAGACCAAACTGTTTGGGGTTGATTTTTTTTTGTCTGAAGATCCCCCTTTTCATTTGCAGTGCTATTCCCTTCTTTCAAGTGAAATGGCAAGCCCATCAGGCAAAATCCAAGGAACAAAAGGTACCTTAAAGATGAACTATTATATTTTAATGGGAGCTTTCATGGATCATGTTGTCTTCTTCAGGCATATGGGAAAAAATGAAATGAGATGAAATGAGATGCACAATGAAATGCACCTAAAGCATGACAAGTCAATGGAAAGGACCACTGCAATGTTGGGGAAACGGTGGCTCTGCATATGTAGCTGGACCACAACTCTCACCATTGGCTATGCAAGATAGGAATTGATGGGACCTGCTGTCCAACAACATCAGGAGGGCCGCATGTTCACTACTTCTGCATGACTGCCTTTTTGCATTCATTTTGTATCTAGAACAGTGGTTCCCAACCTTGGGTCCCCAGTTGTTCCTGGACTAAAACTCCCAGAAGCCTTCACCCACTAGCTGAGCTGGCCTGGATTTCTGGGAGTTGTAATCCAAGACCAGCTGGGGACCTAAGGTTGGGAACCACGGATCAGAAAAGTAGGAAACTCAGACCAGAATTCTGAGAAAGGAAGAGATTTTTCTAATTCTTATGGTTACCTAAAATATGTCTTGCAAAGAGTACTTCCTTTTCAAGAGCATAAATGCCTGAGGATTACCATGGTTACAAGGACTATTACTGATTCTTTTCTGCCTTCCCATTTTCAAAACCAGCAATGCGTCATCCCCCATCATCACCAACTACATTAGCTAGGGTTGAAGACAATAAAGTCAAACAACATCTAAAGGACCATAGATTGCCCACCCATGTTCTAAGTCATTTAAGGAGAGCCACGTCTGCCCACTTTTCCACTTTCCTTCACTTTTCAGTTCATCTCCCTGAACAATGAAGATGGGATTCACTGGCTAATCAAAAAAACTTCTGTTATCTCCCAGAGGATTATCTTCCTCTCTTCCTCTCTCTCTTTCCATGTTTCTCTAAGCCTTCCTCCCCCATCCCCCCTCTTCTGTCCAGCTGCATTCCTTGTACCAGACCTTCTTCCTTATTGCTCCTGCTTTCTCTCCTGCTGCAGGCTGGACATTATTCTTGGTATACTGACTTTGGAATCAGGATGCTGTGTTGTGTCTAAACTTATCTCCCTGATTCTTCAGCCATAAAGTTTCCTGCTTCCTGCACTCCCCCCTCCCATTTATTTTATTTACAGTACTCAATATAATACTTTTTGTGCCTCACTATGTGACTGAAGTGCTCTAGTTGTCTGCATTTTACAAGTTCGATGATTCTGTGATCTGCATTTGTTTATCTGAATACTTTATTTGCCGGTAACCCTCTTGATCCAGGAAATTCTTTTCATACTTTGATAAATCCAGCAATGAATCCAGCAACCTGCCTTGCTAATTTACTAAATTATATCCTCTCCTATCACTTTTCTCCTTTCAACCTCACTTTGACGGTAAGCCCTCTAACAACAATCCTTTCATTATTTTCTTTTACATGGATCTAACATCCCTTTGCTGCTCATCAAGTTCTAAACAACAGTGGTAAGAAAATGTCTAAAGTGTGGCTAGGGTTACTTACCACTGTATGAAATATTAGAAAGCAGAAATAGGGATGGTTTAGCAATTCTACCAAACTCCAGCTTTGTTGGCATTTCCAAATTTGCACCTCAATGCTTATTCTGACTTGGGTACATATTGGATTAAGAGATTCCCTACTGCTACTGCCTATCTCGGTATATTTCTGAGCACGTTGTTCAAAATATACCCATTTTTATTCTTATATCTAAGCTGCATTTACATATACATTCTTTTTTAAACCAAAGCTCAGCTGTGCACATTTCTGAAATGTACATGCCACACCATAGGCATTTTAAAATGTATTTTTTTTACACACGAGGGGGCAAAAATTGCATAGAGGGCTAGTAAATGTACAGCTTTATGATCACGGATGGTGTTTGGTTCTGTGACTGGTTCCAAAACGACTAATAGGAAACACTTCTGCCAAAAAATGAATCCAACAAACTTCTCGCCAGTCGCTAGCAAGGGGACACTTTGGGCTTCAAATAAGCGCCTCATAATCTTTGGCCAACATTGTGTAGGATTTTGCCACACATCTAAGGGCAACCGCACAAGTGGCTTTTGCATTTTGCACAACCACGTCACCACTGACCGCGCAATAGGCAGACTGCAGAACACCGCACATTGTGTGCATGGCTGCCCTTTTGAGCCTCCTGACTCCAAGAGGGTTCTCTCCTTTGCTTCCATCTTCCTAGTCATCCATCCTTACTGTTTCACTCCTGTGACCCTTTTTCCATCCCACCCTTTACAAAACAGGAGAATACTACATCTCTGCCGAAGGACATTTTTGAAAAGAGAGTGACCAAATCTCAGAGAGTGATCACAATAAACAAAAGCAAATTAGACTCTGTTTGTACAACACATATTATGCACATATCAGAGGGCATTTTTAGGAACACATACCTCATATTCAAGGGCCAGATCTGTGTGATCATCAATGTCCACTTTCGCCATCAGCACCTTCCCATTGTGCTTGGCCACCATCTTTTCCAGTCTTGGGCCCAGGATCTTGCAAGGTCCACACCACCTCCAAGGAAAGAAAAGGAATTAGGGTTTTATCTAGGGACAATGGTGCCAGCAGTAAGAAGATGGTGCCATTTGAAACACAGGAAGCCCCTGCTACTCCCATTCCTGGGGTAAGCTAGCCTTTACATTTGATTGTTGCATCAGGATTGTCTCAGAGCTGGCAGGCTTAGAACTGTTTAACTGTGAATGTTCCAAGAATTACAAGCTGTCATTTAAAAATAATGAAGGTGTTTTCCAGACATGAGGGCAGTTCCAAATGGGGCATTTGTGCTTCCAATTACAGGTGCTTTCTTTTTCCAGTTATTTTGAAAGCTAATAGTAATTATTGGAAACATATCTTGACAGCAGATGGTTAGCACTGAAGCTGTCCTTGGAGGTGCAGCCACCAAGAAAGCATATTTGCAAGCAATATTTAAAAAAATGTTTTAAACCAAACAACCTCTCATCTGTTTACTTTCTCCAGGTGACAATGGTTGGCTCCTGACCTTCTGCACTCTATTCACTGCCACTGTACCCATCTCACTGGTAAACCCTCCTTTCTCTGATTTCCTTTTCCTTCCCCACTTGGCATGTGCCCATGTTTGCATTCCTGTTGGGTCTCCCCATTCTCTTGCTCTTGCTTCTAAACGACTCCCCGTCTCCTTCCCTGGAAGAAAAAAAGAACCTAACACTGATCTCTGAGCCACTTGACACAATAAATTGACACTTCAACCTTGTCCAGCAAGTTTATCTTCTTTCTCATCATGTTTTTTAGATTAGAGAAGCATCATATTACAAGACATCACCCCCAATATGGATACATTGTTTCTATATTTATTTATTAGACTTATATGCCGCCCATTCAGACAATGTCAATTAAAAAAATTGCTAATTTCAGACTGGGAAGCCAAGTGGCACAAAATTAAAGTTACGAAGGGACAACAACATGACATACACATGTAGAAAGTGCAAGCTGTTTGAACTGTTGGAAGAGAAAGTGAGAGAACTAGAGCAGCAAGTGGCCATGCTTAAGGCTATCAGAGAAGATGACGGGAACACAGATGGAACTCTCGAGCAGTAGCAGCCAAGAGAAGCACAGGAGGTGGAAGAACAGCAAGACAAAGCAGAGGAGGAGAATGTTGAAAAGAGAACAAACAGAGGGGGGGAAAGCACCATGGAAAAGGGTCACATTTAGAATCAGAAGAAGGAGAAGAGGCTCTTTACCACTGGAAGTGGAAAACCACGTCAGATTCTTGAAGAGGAGGCTGGCAAACAGCATGCAGAAGAAGACATACGGGACAGCCCAAGGGAGTACATGAGAGAGGATGAAATTCAGTCAAGCAGAGTCACTAAACCACATCCTACAAAAAGAAGAAGACAAGAGCAGCTGTACTAGGAGACTCCCTGCTGTGTGGGATCGAAACTGAAACAGGTAGGGAATATCCATGGACCTGCCAGGCATGTCGGCTCCCTGAAGGATGGAAAGATTGCCATCACTCATAAAACCCACAATTATATCTTTCTTCTCGTCCATGTGGGACCAAATGACACAGCCAAGAGGAACTATGAAGAAATCACATCAGACTTTGAAGCTCTAGGAAGGAAACTCAAGGACTTTGGAACCTAGACAGTTTTAGTACTCAGAAGAGGAATAGACAGGGAAAGGAAAATACTGTGGGGAAACAACTGGCTATGAAGATGGTGCCAATTTGAGGGATTTGGATTTTGGAACCATGGCCTTCACTTCCTGGAAGATGGATTGCTGGCAAGTGACAGGTTGCACCTCACATGGACTGGGAAGAATGGTGGTAGGGAGACACAAGCTTAGGGGTAAAAGATGAAAGGTTATATATAATTTATTTATTTATTCAATTTATACCCTGCCCATTTAGACTGAAGTCTACTCTGGGCGGCTACAATAAAATAGCATAAAAACAATTGCTACAACAATTTAAACAACAACAATAATATCATTCAGGATGGGAAGATAAAACTCAAATGAAAAAATAAAGACAGGAGAATATAAATAGAGAAGTAAAGATCAAGTAGTGACAGGAAGGGAGGCCTGCCTAAAGAGCCAGGTCTTAAGCTGGCTCTTAAAAATCTGCCCCAACTGCTTGCTCCAGTTAACAAACTCAACTAAGATGCCTTCCCAGGGGACAGACTGCTGTCCAATCTGTTTTGCCATTATTGATACATGGGAGCTTTCTTTATCTGTGCAGGTGGTATTCCCAAAGTCTCCTCCTTTAACCAAAGCTGGATCCTGATGCACAGGCAACATCCCCACAGGACCTTCCCTCAGATCGCACAATTCAAATGCACTTCATGTATTGCAGGCAGCCAGAATGGGGGAAATATGCTGATATTTTCTCACCCCAGTGAGAAGTCTGGCTGCAGCGTTCTGCATCATTTTTAATTTCCGCATCAATCTCAAGGTAGCCCCACGTAGAGTGCATTACAGTAGTCTAATCTCGAGATTACAAGCACATGGACCAGAGTGGTGAGCGCCCAACATTAAGATAGGGATGCAGCTGGACAATCCGCCCGAGATGGAAATAGGTGGAATGAACCACTAGGTTTCCATGGTAAGCGCTGGATCCAGATGGACCCCCAAGCTGCGAACCTCACTCTTCATGGTGAGAGTCACTCCCCCAAAAGAGAGGGAGTTTCCCAAACCACCAATGGCTGGGCCACCCACCCTCAGGACCTCCGTCTTGTCTGGGTTC